AGTATCGCCATACTTTTTTTTTACGGTTTATTTCGCATATAAAAAAACCAACGAACGAACGCGTCGTATAATACAATTTTCTTCTTTTTTTTTTTTTAAAGCATTTTTGACTTTAACCGTGAAAAGTTTGAAAAGCGAAACGTGGGGAGCGGGCAAAGGGAGGGGGAGGAAAGGGGAAGGTCGTGGAAGAAAAAAAAAAGAAAAAGATGAAGAATGAAAATTTTTTTCTTTCTTTCTTTCTTTCTTTTTTCCCTTAACATTATTTTCATTTTGTTTGAAACGCACATTTTTTTTCGTTTAAAATTTTTTCATTTTTTTTTTTTTAACGGTTTCGCGCCATGAATTTTATCGTTTTCATATTTTAATTTTAAATAATTTGAACAAAGCACACAAAATAAAAGTAAATCGTCATTAAAGAGCAAAAAAAAAACGTATATATATTTATATATATTTCTTTTTTTTTTTTTATTTTCTTTACTTAACGTGATTTACCGGTCGTAAATTTTACACTTAACAGACTGTCTGCTTTTAAAAATTATTATTATTATTATTTCACGGGGTAATTTTTTTTTGTTGTTGCCATTTTTCGACATTTTATTTTTTTTAAAATTATTTCCTTTTTAATTAAAAAATTTTCTTTCTTTTTCGAAATTTAAATTTTTAATTGTTAATTAATATTGTGTTTGAATTTCGAAAACGTCCCCCCCCCCTCTTCCTCTCTGTCCCCCCTTCTTCTTAACGTTTCTAGAAAATTTTATAAAACGTCTTTTGTCGTCAATAAATAAATAAATAAAATAAAAAAATTTAATAGTAAGTCGATAACTCGTTAAAGTCGTCGTTTTCATAAAAATAAGAAAAGAAAAAAAAAAATTTTATGATTCGATAATAAAAATATGAAAAAAATGATTTTATGAAACATAAAAATATTTTATTATTATTATTATTATCGGTTGAAAAAAAAAAATGTGTTAACGTACCTGAACGTTCCATTGTGGCGTTGATTGTTCTTTGACTGAATGATTTGATTTTTTTATCGTGGACGACGACATTTTTCACAAAACATTTTACATTTTGATTTCTTTTTTTTCTTTTTTTTTTCCGTCGTCTGCAATCAAAAATAAAAATAAAAAAATTTTTTTTCGGGATTTGTTTGAATTTTTCCAAGGGAAAAAAGAAAATTAATAGAAAAATTTTTTTTTTATAATTAATCGGTACAAACGAATCGTGGGGAAAAATTTTTTCGGGTGAAAATTTTTTTTTATTTAAATAAACCGAACGCGTTTTTTAAATTTTTCCTCTTTATCTTTTAAAAAAACCTTTGAAGTCTTTGTTTAACTTACGACGAACGATATTTTTCATGCAATTCCACTCCCGAAAAAAAAAAAAAAAATTAATCTTCTTCCGCGTTGTTGTCAAGTCGTCACAAATCGACTTCCTTCCTTCCTTCCCCTCGTCTTTCCCCGTTCAGTGAGTTTCCAGCGTTTTTTTCGACAAAGACAAATCAATAAAATCAATAAATGATTAATAATTTAAATAAAATAAATAAATAAATATGTAAATAATTTCGCGGTTTCATATTTTGCCAAACAAATAATTATTAATTTTTAATTAGAAGGAAAGAACGGGGGGTGGGGAAACAGGAACGAAATCATTATCATCATCATTACCACAACCACCATCACCATCATCATCATCATTAATCATCATAATAATAATAGTTATTATTATTAATTATTTAACGATTTCCCCTTTTTGAATTTTATTAATAATTAAACCCGAATTCGTTATATATATAATTAATTAATAATAAAAAAGTGTTTTGAACCGAATTATTATTATCATTATTATTATTATCATTATTATTTTATTTATGGATCGAAAGTGGTGAAATCGGAAAAGGAAATAAAAAAATAAAACAAAATTTTTTTTTTTTGAATTAAGGCCCTTGGAGGAGGAAAAAAAAACGGAATCGTAATAGAAAAAAAAAAGAAACTTTTTACTTCCTGTCGTTTAATTAAATTTACTTAACTTTTCGTAATTTAATAAATCACAATTATTATTATTATTATTATTATTATTATTATTATTATCATTATCATTATGTTTTTTTACTAATGAAATAATTTATTTCCTGTTCGTTATAAAAAGAAAAAAGAAAAATTTTTTTTAAAAATAATCTTCTTTTCTCTCTTTTTCTCTCTCTCTCTCTCTCTCTCTCTTAATTTTTTTTTGTAAAAACCTATTTCGACATTTTTTTCCTTCTTTTATTTGCTCTTCTCTTAAAAAAGAAAGAAAGAAAGAAAAAAGGAAAATGAGGAAAAAAAGGAAAAAAGGAAAGAAAATCTTTATATTGCCCTAAAGCGATTTCTTTTATTCTTTTACGTTAAAAAAAAAAAAAAATTTTATGTAAATAACTGGAAGAAAAAAAATTTTCATTTTTTTATAAATCAAAAACGAAGTCGT